CTCAGAGTACTAGGGAAGAGCTCTCCTGATTCCTGTGAGTTTCAGCTCCTGAGCAACACCTGACCTAGATTCCCTTTTAGTTTTCCTTCAGTTCATCCAGTCCATTCCCACAGACACTTCTAAAGCCCTATATTGTCTGCAAGGCCGGGTAGCTCCTGCAGCCCAGGCACAGGGTGTAGGTTGTTCCCATGGAGCAGTTCATCAGCACTTCTGTAGGGACTGCAAGTCACCTGTGACTGGGATGGCAGGAGATCTTGTGTCTCAATAGCATTTGGATGGCAGCAATGTTTTCTTGGAGTGGGGCAGTAGCTGAAACTCTTTGGAAGAGGAAATCAAATTTCCTAAAGGTACAGAGGTGGTGCCACAAAGGCATAAGGAAAAAAAAATTATTATTTTTTTTAATTTTCCAGGAGAAAGACTTATCTTTATTCACTGTTATGTCTCCAGACAATGCTGATTTACATATATAACATATATAACATTTTCATTCAGTCTGTGTTTTCCACTAACCAGAACTAGACAGTGCCTATCATTTGGGCAGTTATATACATGAAAATACATTAATTTAGATTTGTAATTTTTACATTTTAGTGAATAATATTTTTGCTCTTCATTTGGTGCGCAAACCTGCCAGGGGACCTCAGGCACAAGCACTGTTCTGTAAGAAGAAGAATGTTGGCAGAGGTGGCTCCCCAGTGCCATGGAGAGCATGGGCCCATGGGGATCAGGTAAACTCATGCTGGCACTTTCTCTTCTTCCTTAAGCTTTGGCCATAGGAGGGTTTGGGCAGGCAGCTTGCAAGGTTGGTCACCCTGGAGTAACCTCACTTCTCCAGCCTCAGGACATTCACTTGCCTCTGCTGCCCAGCAGAGAGCCCAGGGCCAGCTGTCCCCTGTCAGGCACAGCTCTTGTACCCTTTGGTACCCCCCAGCTCCCTGCCCACTTGTCAGCTTGTCCCTGCTGCGCGATTCTAGCGCTGCTTTGTGCAAATGTTTTGGGGCAAGTGGAAGGAAATGCAGCAGAACCTGCCCAACCACTGATCTGTCTACTAGCAAGATGCCCTCTCTGGGTCAGTGCAGTGCAATTTTATTGGCATAGGAGCCTGTCTGACTCCTAAGTAAATTCTGTTGCCACTGCTATCTTTAAGTTAGAGCAAACTTAAATAATTCCCACTACTCAGCTGAAGGAATGTGACTGCCAGGCTGACTGCAGAGCGCAGTCATGTCCTTTCACCAAGAGTCACTTGCAAAAGGTGTCTTGGGAATGGCCATTATAATATTTTTCTTTTCAACTTAGGTACACCTTATCCATGTGAAGAAATATTTTTCATCAAATAAGCATTCCTGGTGCCCATGCTGCTGTTATCATTAAACAAATATTTCATTTAGGGGGTATGGAAACAGATTTATGAGGTTTTTTATCAAACACAACCATTAGCTGTTGACAAAAGAACACAGATTGCACCATATTTTAGGGTTAAGAGAATTGGCTCTCCTATTCTAATATATTCTCCAAATTTATTGCAAGGTAATTTTTACCTTGCAATAAATTGTAGTAATATTTTCATGCCACCTTTTTTTTTCTTAAATACAGATTTTGAAGTGTGGGTATTATTTACAGGCTTGGATGTATTTGTAAATTCTAGTGATGTAAAAATGGCACTCATATGAATGATGCTAGAGGAAAAATATCTACATTTAAGTTTTCACAAAATTTTCCACAAGTGCCCTTCACCCATACTACAGCAGGTGGGGATGAAATCCCAAGCAACATTAGCTGAACCACCTTAGGCTGACCTTGTAGTCTCTTGACAATTTCCACAACATAAAAATCCAAACAAACTTTTCACATTCTACTTAAAAAAAAAAGTGATATGAAGTCAGGAGCCTGTCTTTACAGATATAACCAAACATGCTTTCTTTTCTCTACTTGTGAGTTGTTCATATCACTTCAGGTAGGTGAGGACAGGGACTCTCTGAACAACACTTTTAATGTTATGTGAAGATTAGCAGTGATGTACATACTTTGGAATTTCTCTTCAGAGTGTTCTTGACCTTTCATAAACCAATTTTACTGAATTATTGCAATTGGTATAAATAATTTTTCTTACAACAATTTAAGAATAAAAATAACGTCACAGATAATTTAAATACTACAACTCAACACCCTCTAATTAAATTTTTCAGCCAATAAAACACAAGGTAGAAATGGCAGAAATTAAAATCTTCCAGTTGACAATTGTTCCTTGGATAATTCCTAAAATAAATACTAAAGTTAGCATTCAGTGGCTTGAATCTTTCTTGCAAATATCCACACCAATCCTCCTAGTGATGCTAAGTCTCTTGTAAAGGTATGAGAGGACATCCAGTAATGAGTAATCCCTAAAACTGATATTTAATATTCCACTAAAGAAGCTAACATATTTACAGTTCTCACATGCCACACCTTAACATCCTTTTTATTTATTTTAAACCAGATAAAATAAGCCATAATAAGACTGATTTGTATGAAGTCATGATAAGAGTCTCCATTCTCATGAAAACAAAACCATTGTAAAGCCCTGGTCCCACTGACTTCAACATCTAAACCAAATTTTCACTGCCAGCCTTTGACTCCTATCTTGTGTGTCACCAAAAGAAACAGAGCAATTGTTCTCAAATACTAGCAAGCAGGTGGGGTGAGCATGGAAGATTCTAGTTTCAGAAAGATGACATCTATTAGGATACTTTTAGGAATTAATGATAAATGAAACATAGAGCACAGTATGTTGAGTTACTGTGACATAGACCCCAGAGTTTACAGAGGAACAGTTCACCTTTAAAAGGTGAAAGGTGCTGTGCTAGCCTAATTTTGACCTCAAACCATCTGACTGTAGACACTCAGTTTAACACATTCAAACCTGTTGATCCTCAAACCACCGAGTGGATATGTTGGTGGTTACATCTCATTGCTTCTGATTTTTAGCCACCCACAGAGAGGGTGACACCTTCCAAGGGAGCTTTTCCATCTAAGCAAGATCTGCCCTGATTATCACTGAGTAGTTCTAGCCCAGGATGGGTGGAAGGCAGGGCCTGCCTTTGAGGTCACATATCTAGGTGGTCCAGGGAGGTCCAGTGGACCCTTTTGAGGATATGGGGTGTGGCTCAAGCCCTTGAATGGTGTCATTCCTGATATTCCACTCTCAGACTGGGATCTACCCTGCTAGGTCAGCACATATGGCAGACAACACTCTGATGACCTTTAGGAACAGTAGCCTTTGCTCCATTGCCTGCTGAGGTGCCTGTGTGAGACTCTGTCAGGGCTGAAGAGGCAGATGTGCTGATAGCTTTGCTGTTAGTAATTTCTCAGCTCCCTGTCAGCCCCCAGGCCCATCCTAGCTGGGTCTGTCTGTTCCATCTGCCCTGGGCAAAGGGGAGAGGGTAGCTGCTGGCAACCCTGCAGTAGCAGCCACATCAATCTCCTTGATTGTCTCTCTAAAGATTATCCTAATCCTCTGTTGCCCATTAAAACCATTTTGGTCCAAGCCCAAAGGTAAAATTTTATTACCATTTCAGTTTTCAGGTTTTTGATTTTTACCCTAAACTAGGGAAAACTTGTTTTTTGGTACCTTGCCAGGTTGCATCAGTAAGCTGACACTGGTCTCCTGGTCACTGCCACGGCTGTACATTTAGGGAAGCCCAGTCCCTAAGCCTGGGGAGATCTGGAGAGAAATATTATACAACCCAAAGGGTATGACAAGCAGGATGGATGCCAGAACGAACTTTACACTGAATAACCTCTGCATGACAAATGCTAAAGTAATGTCTGCTACATCAACCACCCACGGCCATGGTGCAGACTGTGGGCAACAAATATGTGGGTGTGCAAGCCTGCCTTTGAGGGAAGGCTCTAATCACAGGTAAAGGTGCTTTGCTTAGCGTTATCAGTGACATCTGGTGGCGACAGACAGTAAAGTAATTTCAAATCTTTTTAAAGGTTGTGTAGGAGTTTGAATGGCTCATCCCAAATGAAGTATTTTTGACAAAGATGTGTTCCCCAAAGTGTATTTCTTTCTGAAAAAAACACATGATGACCATACTCCATGCCAGGAGCAAACACTAAGCAGATCTGTATATAGCATGGGATCTTTTGGTGATGGGAAACACTGGGACCAACGAAGCCACCAAAATATATAATGTGCCTGAAAAGCAGTTGATAAATACCTGATCTTTGTTACTGTTAGCTGCACAGAGCCTTGTGAGTGTTCCAGATCTTACAGCCCTTCTGAATCAATGAGCATGGCAGCAATTCAGCAGCTGTGGGTGGGGGACCAGTGTCAGCTAATGCAGGGAGAATCATGAGAGCTGCTGGGGGTTAAGTGGTGAGTGGGCTGGACTGAGACTCCACACAGCCTCCCACAGCCCCTGTGGGGACTGCAAGGGAGAAGCTGAGCACTTATCTGGACCCTATTTCTGTCTTCCCAGCCCCTTCTTGGGCTGGACACCTTTTGTAGAGGACAGCATTTCTCAGAAATGTGGCTCTTAGCTGAAAGCAGCAGAACCAGTGCACATGGAGATACCTCTTCCTTAATTTTGCACTTAACCTCATGGTGTAAATGGAAGACTTTTTTGTTTCAATATCTTCTGTGAGAAGTTCCTTTCTGATTTTGGCCCAGTTTTGCATCAGAAGCTTTGTTCATACAGGAGACTTGTTTTGACAGTGGCTGGGGAATTTGCACCTTTCCTTTTCCTATTTGCATGGCCATGTGTACTCTTCTTTCTTCTTGGGTGAAAAATGGAGAGGGTTATCTCTTCAGAAAAGCACCTTCTCACTACCTGGGTGCACCCCACTTGCTGCTCTTCTGAATTCAGCTCTAAAAAGCAAAACTGCAGGACTTTGCTGTGATTTTTAAACTTGACAATTCAGTAAGGTAATCATTATCCAATAAATGAACAGTGAAATGAAACAAAACCCAAAACTCAAAACACAACTAAAATCATATATGAGACATCTGTGCATGTTGCAGTGTCACATCCTCTGTAATGTGTTCTGCTCTTCTGAAAATGGTTCTTGAGAGGACATTTCACACCCACAGATTTCTGAAGCCAGCATTGAAACTTTCAAGTTTCATCTCACCTTGAAGAACAAACAGTTCTTGAAACAGTTAACTTTGATAAGGCAAGTGCAAAAAAAGGACAAAGATAGGATATCAGCTATACTGAAAATATGTCTTTCTTTTCATAGCCTGTTCCTCCTGAGAAGCAGTGACAAAATAAAGACCTCTAAATCTGTTAGGTTGGGAGAATGATCCTCTCCTTTAAGCCTGCCAGAAAGTTTCTTGAAATCTCAGCACATCTGTAACAAAATGTGGTTGAATCAGATGTTTAACATTGGGATTTAAGTCTGGATTGTGATTGTTGTAATTTTGAATTTCTAGAAGGCATTCCTGTAGAAAAACACTTCATTAACATATTGAACTGTCAGCAACTCCCTGTGTTTCCACAGATATATTCACATATCAAATTCAATAGTTTGGCCCAGTTGGTGACATCCCCAGTCTCTTCTCATACCTGTGGAGCTGTCTGTGTGCTCTGGTGACTCCTCAGCCAAGGCACAGGCAGGGAAGGAAATGTCTCCCTCAAATATTTCCATGCAGTTGTTTATGAGGAACTCCACCAGCACTGTCACCTGCACACAGAAAACAGCCCATTTCAGTCAAGACAGATTGAAGATTCTTTCCTCACCCTGCCTTGCTATCTTTGTAGGAAGGACAGCACAGAGCAGGTTGGCTTCTGCCAAAATCCTGGCTAAGGGTGAGGCCTAAGAGGTCTAAGGGTGAGTCCACCATGGGGGATAAGGCCTGATGCTGCAAACAATACAGACAAAACACCATCAGCCACAGCTTTGGCCTCTCTGCCCAAGGGCCCAGGGGTGACAATGGCCACGGGTGCCCCTTGCCCTCCACATGCAAAGTCTGCAGGAGCTGTGCTGTGACTTTGGGGGCTGCAGGGCAGCTGCTGCTTTTGCTCAGCACCCCCAAGGCCCAGGGGTGCTGCTCTGTTCAGCTGCTGCAATGGCAGTGGGATGGATCCCTAGGATGGCTCTCAGTTGCCCCAAGGGAGCGGCTGCTCAGTGAGTCCAGCGCACCTTGTCATTCATCTCCTTCTGCACTTCCAGCGGGAGCGTGCTGTCCGTGCCTGGGCTCAGCATATTTGGGCCAATGCAGATGGCCAGGTTGCTGGAGTCCATCCTGTTGGTCTCAGCGTTTTGGCTGATGTGGTGGAGCAGAGAGAGCAAGAGCTTGAGCAAGACGAGGTTTGGTCTTGGCAGCTTGTCAGCCACCCTGTGGGAACACAAACAAAATGTCACCTTAGCTGATGGTGCAGTGGCCTCTGCTTCTTGATTTGAGCAAGTCTCCATTAACCTTAGAGTGACACCACTTCCTCCAGAAAGGGGCATGTGTGTGCTCTCTGTATCTTTCAGAAATCCCCATCTGCAGCTGTGTGGGGTTAATTATGAGACCTTGAATTACAAGGTCTTGACTGAAAGGCAGCATTGCAGAAATCCATGTCCTGGAATAGATGAGGTGACATCAGGAGATGTCACTGGAGGCTTCCCAACGCCTATGGTTGTGCTGTGGGGCTTTCAAAGCTGTCCCAGTCAGCCCCCACAGCTACTGTTCCTGAAGGGCAAAACATGGAGGTGGTCTCCATGTGCCCAACCTCACCCCCAGCAGATGTGGAGGCTCTGTGTCAGTGCCTGTCCCACAGCACCGTGACTGTGTTGGCTGAGGCACTGCAGCCTCTGCCCTGTTCCTATGCCGTTCATTTTGTAGGACAGCCACCAGCAGGGTCTGCCCTGGACAAAATGGAGAGCAAGGGTGTTTTCCCATCCTCACCAGTTAGAGGCTCCTTGAGAGTGTTACAAAGTATTCAGAGACACGTAGATAAAGCAGAACACTGTGAGCCAAAAATTCATGAACCCAGGGGAGAGGAACATGGAGAGGGATAGGGACATCCTCTCCAGAAAGCCTATGTGCTGCCACCACTAAGTCCAAAACCAAAAAGTCATTCAGACCTTCAAGATGCTTTAGAAAAAGAGACTGTGATGGTGTGATCCATCACCCCAGAGCTGAGGAGACACAGAAATGCAGGTAGGTGGTTGGATGTGGGTCCTGGCTTCCAGAGGGACTGCTGCTCCCCAGCTATGGGTCTGGCACACAGCCCTGACTGCACGTGGGGCTGCACAGCCAGGCACGGGTGCTACAGGATGCCTGGCTGCTGCAGAAGTTGTCAGCTGCAGGTTCTTTTCAGCATTGAGGAAAATTGCACTCCTGGATATGTCAGCTGGAAGGAAACAGTTTGGACTTTGTGTTTGATAAGAAGTCTGCCTCCTGTGTGGATTCGATAAGAAGCCTTTCACTTTCTCCCAGGGCTTCTCCTCCAGTTTGGCTCTGCACTCATCATCGCACAGGGGAGGCCACGGGGGTTTCCAGTTCCTGTTCCCCGCTCGGAGCCGCAGCATCCTCCATTGAGTGAGTGAGCGTGTGCGCGGGGGAGCGGGGAGAGGCCGGAGGGAGCGGGCGCTGCAGGCACTAGAGGGCAGGACAGCCCGCGGCAATCCGCATGGAGAAACGGGCGCGGAGACATTAGGAATGTCACCTATTGCACATGGCACACCGGCACTGGTGACACCCGTCTGAACTTCCCCCCTCTGCTGAACCCCAATGGTGTCGACCCTTTGCAAAATCTGGCCATATTTTAACGTGAGGAACCAAAACTTAGGATCACCCGACACTGTCCACAGTACAAGCACAGACTCAGAACGGTTTGGATTGGGAGGGACCTTTAAAGATCATCTAGTCCAATGCCCCTGACAAGTCCACATGTCCTCTACTCAATCCACACCACAGTTGTGGGTTTCAGGGCCTTTTAACTGCAGCTGCCAAATGTTTCCAAACCACACCTCAGCTTTCAAAAAGTTCAGCAGAGCTGTTTCAGTCTGTCCTTTGAGAGTGGAGGAAAAACCACATTATCCTGCCTGTATTCAAGCATATTTTTGGATGTCCCAGTAAGTAGCCCTTGTCACCTTCTTGACAGAATTTGGTGTTTTAGCCTTCTGCCACCATTATGAGGTGACTCAGCTGAAGGTGGGAGAAATTGTGCACCACAGATCCAGCACACTTTGTGAGAGTGAAGCAGAGGTTTCAGCACACAGATTGGCAAGAGGCTTGCTGAATTTCTGTTTTTTTGTTTGTGGTTGTCACAGAAATCTTCCTGCAATATTCATGAAGAAAAAGGATGTGTCTAAATTAAACCGCTGAAAACCAGAAGTTGTTCTCTGGAGCAAATCTTTCAAAAAGTTTGTATCCCACATGGACTGCAAAAAAAAAAAAAAAAAAAAAAAAAAAGGAAATTTTCAGAAGAGCTCAAGCTTCTGGGTGCTTTGAAAATGTGTAAATGTGTTCAGGAACATTGTCCATGTGGAAATCTAGTCCCACAGTCCAGTGGAAATGACAGGACACCCCCTTCTTTCTACTGCTTAACTTCCGAAATCAAATACACGGACTCAAACCTCAATTACATGTAGAGCAAACTGTTTGAAATCAAATTAAACACTCAACAGCCACCTGAAAAATGCATGCTGTACCTCAAAAAGCACAGATTATCATGGGCTTATTAGGCTTATTCCCAAACCCGGTGCAGGGATCAGCCTTGTTCTGTTTACACACTGCATTAAACTCATTTAGTCTGCAGTCCCAGAGCTGCCACTGGTGATTCATTTCCTCCAGCATCTCTGGCTGCTTTCCCAAGAGCAGAGCTCCCGGCACAGACCCTTGACACTGCTCCTACCCCAGTCCCCAGCTAAGTAGCTGCCTGCATTAAACACCAACATTTTCCCCTTATGGCGACCTGGAGGGAGAGCTCAGCAAGCATTATGCAATCCACTTGCAGCAGTGTTTCCAGAAGGAATGCATTCCTGCTGTCTCATTGCTCAGGATTCACCAGCAATTCCTCTGATGCTCTTTGTCCTCAAGGGACAAATTCTGCCTCATCCCATGCTGCCTGATGCCAGATTCCCTCCAGACCGTGGGACTGCTTTTGCAAGCAGCTCTTGCCAGTCGGGGCTGTAAATATGGAGAGGATGCAGATGTGCTTCTTTTCCAGTGCAGATGTGCCTCTTTTCCTTCAAGATACAGTTCCTGAGCAGAGTTGTGTAACATCCTGGCATATGTAGATCCAAATCATTTGCAATACCTGATCTATGTGCAGCAGTCCTGGGTATGATCCATGACATACCTCCACTTAGTTAGCTGACCTGAACAGGAAAGTCCATCTGGGGATGACATGAGTTCTGGACTTGGACATAAACACCAGAAGAGTCCTTCAAGAGCAACTGGAGAGCTGAGCAAACCAACCCAGGCACAGAGGTTGCCTCACCCACACTACAAGATGCCGGCCACCAGCTCTGCAGGGAACACTTCCCCAGGGGTAAAGTGTTCATGTGGGCCCATGCAAGAGTCAGGCACTCTCCATTGCTAAATCTCCTTCCAGCAGAGACCTTCTGGGCTGCAGAGGTACACCCCTGCCCCCAGCACACACATGAAGTAAGATACTCCTTCACTGCATGGTCCCTGCCAAGAGCTCAGCAGATCTCACTTCCCAGCCCTCAGAGCAAAGAGCACACAAAGGAGAGGCTGCACCTCTCTTTTAATAGAAGCTCAGGGAAAGCAGTATTACGGTGTTTGTCTTCCCAAGCTACAATTACAAGAGCTGAGGCTCTCCTTCCCAGGGTGTAGTTGGACATCTGCCTGCTGATGGGAAGCAGGGAATTAATTCCTCTTTCTGCTTTGGTCGCATGCACAGCTTTTGCTTTTTTTATTAAACTGTCTTTCACCCTTGAGGTGTTTTTTAACCTTATCTTCCCCTCCTGTCCAATTGAGGAGGCGGGGTGAGAAAGCATCCAGGTGGATGTCTGGGAACCAGCCAAGATCAACCCACCAGTCCTCTTCCTTGGGCACAAGATAAAGCCAGTTTTGATCTGGGTGTACTGTAGCTGCCCTAGGTGATGACTGGCAGGCCTCTGCATGGCACACAGGGCTCGCTTGATTTACAGTGTAACAGAGCCATGGGCTCAGCAGTGGCTGCTTTCAGCTCCTCCTGCTGCAGTGCTTATCTCTGTGTTTCACCATGCCTGGAAGCATTCTGATAAAGCAGCAGCCCTGCCTTGGCCCTGGCACGGGCACTGCTCCTCTGTCAGGAGAGCTTTCCTGTGGAGAGCTGAGGGATTGCACCGCTCTCTTCCCCTCTGGGACTGATGTGTCTGCCTTCCTCTCCAGAGCTCCTCACCACATCCTTATCTAAGCTGCTTGACTAATGTCATCTTCTTGTCATTTGCATAGAAACTACTTTTCGTCTGGTGTTATGGAGAACCAGTTTGCCACTGAGGTGACAAGGCTTTAGGCCACTGATCCCTGGTGCCTGCATGGTGTGTGGCAGGACTTGGTGGCTGCCTGGCAGGGTTATCACCTCACATAGCCTGTGATCTTGCACCTCTACAGGCATGTTGAACTGGCACTTGATGGAAGGGTGCCTTGCCTGCTCCCGTGAAACCAGCAGCTCTTGGCACTACACTGGGGCTTCCTTGTGCTTCTTGAGCCTCCCTTCAGCACCATCAGGGGAATGTGATCTAAACCACAAGTGGCAACACTTAGCAGTCAAAAAGAATCACTGGAGGCAGAGGTCAATGTGTCCATACCAGCAATTAGTACAGAAGCAGGAGGAGGAAGGATCTGATCAGGCAGCTTCAGCAAGGCAAAAAGAGGAGGAAGTGAGAGAAATGACCGGCCCTGAAACTTGGGCAGACTTCAAAATACGCTGAAACATTACAGCCACCAGTCTGGCAAGCAGATTGGTGCCACTTGTGAGTGACCTCACAAGGAAGTGGGATGGTGACCCTCCTCCAAGTTGGGAGCCTATGTACACAGATTGACTGGGAAGAGAGATGATAAGGAGGGCCATCTACAGCTGCCGCCAGTTCAGCTGCTGTTGAGATGGTGGAAGGCAACTAGCAGTCTCCCTGGCATAGAAGAGGATTAAGAGTGCTTCTCTTGATTTTGGTGAAGGGACTTTTGGTCTGACACTGCAAGAATCTCCAGCCTAGAATAGAGGGTCACTGCCTTTGATCAGGAGAAGGAAAGGGGTGACCAGCTTTACTGGGCTGTGTGGATTTGATGGCTTGGCACACTGGAT